TAATAATCATTTATCTTTCCCAAACTGACTCGCACAAGAAGCATCAGGGATCCCAGCATGGGAGAGAGCTGCATACCTTATGCCCTGAATCGAATTCCTTTCCTATTACCTGTAAGGGCCAGGACATGAGCAGCAGCTGGGACAGACAGAACACTGGGACTTGGTCCTGCAGCTTAGTAGGGCTAGAGGCTGGGGCATGGTCAGCAGTCCAGGGTCAGGGCCCAGGCAGCAGGAAAAGAAGAACGGTTCCAGAAAGCCTTTTATGCTGGCCTTTGGGACCTCCAGCTGCACTGCATGATTGCTCTTTAGTTGCTCCCTGCAAGAGCCTGCAAGGGGGCTCCTGGTTCTGCAGGCACTTGGAGGGTCACTCAGGCCCTGATCCTGACATTGCCCAAGTGGGACTGAAGATGGGAAATGGCATATGCCAGTTGTCAAAATAACAGTGAGAAAACTCAAATGCAATCCAATTAAACAGGGGTACTTTAAGTGTAGCACAAGCAGTAAGAGGCTATAACAAAGTCTGACTGAATCATATCATTCAGAATTCTTGGAAAACCTATCAACATAAACCATAGTTCAAGTCTATGTTCCAACAGCAGTTGCTGAAAAAGAAGAAGAAGAAAGTGAAAATTTTTATGCAAGTTTCCAATTGATAACACACGGAAACAAGTCATGTTGCTACTCATAGCTTCCTGGAATGAAATGTAAGAAACAAAGCAGAAAAAAATATTTTGTGAGAATGTAGCCTTGGGATCAGAAATGAAGTAGAACAACTCACAGAATTCTATGAAGCCAACAATCTGCTAATGGCAAATACATACTTCGTGCAACTGATCAGGTAATTGTACACATGGGTATCACCAGATGGTCAACCTGAAATCAAAATAGAAATATAGAAGAATGCACAAAGATAATTCTTGTAGCAACAATAAAGAAAAAGTCCAGATGGATGACAGAAGACATATTCACAATTGCTAAGGACTGGTCAGAACCAAAAGGTGACAGAAAATAGGATCAGAATCTTGAATGCAATTTTTCTGTGACTATCACACAGAGACAAAAGAACTACTACAATGGTCAGTGAAAAGAAATAGAAGAGAACAACAAAAGAGGAAAAACAAGAGACTACTTCCAGAAGAGAAGGTGGAAGCAATATATGGAAGTACTATATAGAAGAGATAAAAAGATGACAGACACTTTAGATGCGGAATCCTATGAGGAACGGCCTGAAATATTAGAAAGTGAAGTGGAAGCTATACTTGAAGGAATAAAGATGCAGGACTAGATAGGGTACCAACAGAACTATTCCAAGCTGCAAAGACTGAATTGGTCCAAATCCTAACAAGAATATGCCAACAAATATGGAAAACAAAGCAATGGCTCACAGTTTGAAAACATTCAAAATATGTGCCAATGCTCAAGAAAGGATTTGCAAAGAGTACAGCAGCTATAGGATCATTGCTCTAATTTATCATGCCAGCAAAGTGATGCACAAGGTGTAGCACAAAAGAATTTCACCCAATATGGAGCAAGAAATACTGGAAATTCAATGCCTGGATTCTGAAAAGGAAGAGGCAATCAAGATCATATCACAAATATACGTTGGACACTGCAGTGCACCAAAAAATTCAGCAGAAGATCAGTCTATGCTGTATAGACTATAGCAAAGCCTTTGACTGAGTGGATCACAAGAAGCTATTGATGGTCCTGAAAAAAAATAAAGATTGTTCCTCATTGTATACATTGTTCTGATGTATAGCCTGTTTTGTGGACAAGAAACTACTGTTAGGACAAAACAGGGATAAACAGATTGGTGATGAGAGGTGGTTATTTATTTTTTATTTCCTGTCATCCTCTATTAGAAGGAAGAGGAGGAGGAGGTTTGTTTATATAGCAGGAAGTCAGGTTGTGATGGAACTGGATCTGCAAAGAAGGGAGAAATCCAAGAAAATCCTACAGGAAATCCTGTGATGCTGTCGATTTTCCTGAACATCTGATGTGAAGCAAGAATCTGTTGTAATATTAATGCTGGGAACTCTTATCTTATATGAGGCAGTATATATGTATAAATAACATCACAGAAATGTCATAGATCTCCTGTGACCTCTGCCTTAGGAAATTGAACCCTGGATAAGCACTTGGACCCTTGAAACTCAGAAGTGGGGTGCAGGCACCTGATATCCTTGACTAGCAGAATGCTCTGAAAGGTTTTAATTAAATAATTAAAATGGAGTCAGATAAAATGGAGCTAAATGTATGAGCAGCATGCACAGTTTGAAGACAGAAGCAGCAGCTTGCTACAGTAAGTGTCATGGATAAATGGCTTAAACTTGCAGACAAGATGCATACTGCTTGTACAGTTGTGTGATAAAGTACTGACAAATAACAGCACAGATGGCTTTGCCCTAAGATTAGGCCTCACATGCCAGACATGATCTGGGAAATTGTCATTTTAAAAATAACTTCAGAACAAGTGCCACGTTTTGAGAGATCCATGTGTCTAATAAACAGAGAGAAACTCAGTAATGTCCCATGCTGGAACTTAGTCACTGGAATTATGCTAGAGCCATGGAACCCAGGCAGAATTATCACCTGGACTCAGCCAATAAAACTGGCATGCCTTCACAATGGGTGAAATAAACCTAATTCATCATCTATGTGTTTTCCCCAGGTACCTCTCTGAATACACAGGGAATAAGCCCCAGCAGCTTAATGTTATGTACTTCTGAGTGAACATGCATATGGGAATATGCTACTAATGGCAAAATGACAGACTGATATGAAATGGAGGCAAGTCTGCAATCTGAGACAGGTTCAGGTTGTTATTAAAATGTGTTTTAACTGTTCCAAAATGGCCACAGTCAGACCTTATCTACACAGAAGCTAATTATGCTTCCCTTACAGGAGTACTGTGTTCGAAACATGTTGCTGGAGGAGAACTTTGCGAATACCTTGATCTGACAGAAAGAAAAAAACAGATGGGTCCCAGATCAAATCAAGTCATATCTTTACCTAGAAGCAAAAATGACAAAACTGAGACTGTCATACTTTGGGCACATCATGAGAAGGCAAGACTCACTGGAGAAGACAATCACGTTATATAAAGTTGAAGGCAGAAGACAAAAGGAAAGACCAAATATGACATAGATTGAATCCCTAAAGGAAGCCACAGCCCTGAACTTGGAGGAGCTCAATGGAGCTGCCATGGGCAGGTCACTTTACAAGGCTTTCATTCATAGGGTTGCTGTAGGCTGAAGATGACTTGATGGCACATAACAATAACAGTAATACTTAGAGCCCGTAGCTGTGGTGTAGGATTGCCATGTATCCTATTTTACATAGGTCAGCCCTCCATTTGAAGGGACAACAGACCTCTGTTTAAAGTTCTGCCCAGTCCAAGTCCAGTTTAAAGACAAAGAACTATAAGAAGGGAGAACAGGGAGGGGCTCTAAAGTTGTACATCTGCAATGAGTACTGAACAGCTGACTAAGCATGTGCACAGGTCTCCTGGCCACAGCGCTCCCACCACAGCAAGATGTTCTCCATAGGACAATGTTCTGCATTATAAGCTGCCCCGAGATGTTCTGTAGGGGACAAGACAGAAAAGCTTTAAATCAATCAATCAATCAATAAATTGTAACAGCTCTGTCTAAAATTGTATCTAGTCATTTAAATTAGCATATGCAGGTTTTATGCTAAGTTGTACCACTTCCTTTTGCTGCCCTCTTTGTCTGTGATACCTTTTCTTTCCTTTTTGTGATCATGACCAAGTGGCGTGACATTTAAGAAAGGGCTGCTGTCACCTGAGCAGTGAATGAATGACAGGGAGATCCCCATATTTCCTGGGATGTGTGAGGCAAGGGGGTAGAGAGAAGGCAGCTGGATTAGCATTGCATAGGCATGAGCTTTGTCAGTTAGCCATGAGCCACTTTAGGACCAACTGAGCCCACTCCTTTCACTGTTACCAGATTGCACTCATTGTGTGGATACACCCCAGTACCTCCCCCCGCCTCCTCAACCCGACTGCTGGCTTGTAATGCTAGTCTCTTCCCATTCAGTTACACTGCACAGAATCTGCTACTGCTTAGAGCTGGTTAACACTGCCATTTTTAGATTCTGCTTTCATTTTTTCCTTTCCTCTCTCCCTTTCCACTTCTTCAAATATTGCTTAAAGCACTTTTAATAACATTCAAATATCAGAGTTTAAAATAAAATACCAAATCTACTAAAGCATTTATGATGCATTGTTATCAAAGGTATTAAATTCAGTCCACAAGGCAGCTAAAACCAGTTTTCAAGCTCAAGGTGGTGAAAGGGGCTTGGCCTAGCCAAAGTACAGCAGCTGCCTCACTGGACTCCTGCCATCATTTTTAGCTAGAACAGACCTTTTTCATTGAATGAACCAAATGGGGCATCTGGAAAACCCACGAGCCCACTTTACTTGGGGACATATGCGTAGCACGTTATCTTCCAGTGCCCATGTTGCTCTATAGTAAGTGCACAATGCTTATGAGCTGTACCACCAAGCATTTATGTACCACCAAGCCTCTTGCTGAAAAATGCACAATGCTTTTGGAGACGGCTCTCCTCATTATCCCCATACATGCATTTATGAGATATTAAGCTACTATCACTAGACTGGGAATATTGTACCAAATAAAAAAAATGACAACCATTTTTATTGTAGCCGATAGCTCCCTTTCTCCTTTGCTTTCCCCTGCTATAGAGAAGCCTAAAGAGATGAAGAACCAGTCTACATTCTCCAGTCAGTGCAATGCTTTAGTTTTTCCAAAAGAGAGGGTGGTGCACGTGTCAGTGGGAACTGTCACTGTCTCCCCCTTCCTTCTTGAACACAAGAATGTCGATGTGTCACCCCAGTAAGCTGGCACCTGTCTAAATCTGTCCTTGTGTCAGATGCATATATGGAGAAAGTGAGCATGCAACCAATGACGTTCTGCTTCTAAAATAAACCCAGCTCCCTTCCCTCCCTTCCCTGTGTTAAAACAATGTCCTCCAGGGAAAGATCCTCAAAAGACATTTGATCTCACAAGCGTTCACATTCTTTCGAGGGACCTAACCCGGAAACGGGTAACAACAGCCTGATTCTGAGCCTATGTTCCTTGGAATCACCAGGAGATGAACACCTCTCTTAATTACAAGTCCTTTTCTAAAGAGCAACAAACTATGGATAACTTAGAGAAACAGCTTATCTGTCCCATATGTTTAGAGATGTTTACCAAGCCGGTGGTTATCCTTCCCTGTCAGCACAACCTCTGCAGAAAATGTGCCAGTGATATCTTCCAGGTAGGTTTATTTAACTTTTTAAAATCCCAATGGACACTAATAGTCATCTCATATTACATAATCAGAAGGATGTCATTGTGTGGGTTTAATAAACAGAATTCCCTTTAAATAAGGAGAAAATTATTTACAAAAATAAGCTCTTTGTTATTCGTTTCTAAGTGATTTTGGATCCCTTACATTTGGAAAAGTCTCCTTTATTTATGTAGACTGATTTGTTATTTCAAGTACTTAGAGATATTAACACATAAACTCATTCCTGTTATTCCCCAACACCTCTAAAAATGGCAAATTTCTCTGTAGCACAAGTTGTCATTATATTCTTAGCTGCTAGGCATTGGACAAAATAATATTGTATTTATTTATCTTTCTTTGGACATTTTGAACAGCTTTTCCCCTGGTAGTTAAATGACCAGATCCAAAGTCCACTAAAGTCATAATGATGAGTACATGGAGGCATTAGGTCATGTCCTAAGCAGATAGCATGATATGGACCTTACAATGTGGAAATGAGAGCAGTTGTCAGAACTAATTGTGAAATAATGCATGCTCGGCTTTAAAAACTTGTTTATTGCTTGGCAAGAACAGGCCTCGAACCCTTATCTGCCAACCAGAGGAGGCACCACTGTGGCTTCAGGAGGTCGATTCCGCTGTCCCTCTTGTAGACATGAAGTAGTTCTGGACAGGCATGGAGTATATGGTCTTCAAAGAAACCTGTTGGTTGAAAATATAATTGATATATACAAGCAGGAATCTACCAGGTAATGGACTAATTTTGTTCTTCAAATATTACTTACAGATGCAGGTTCTGACTTGGTTGTGTTTTCCATGGAAATTTATGGGCCCAACCGGAGAAATATAGAACACCCAAAGGGTTTTCATCACTGAGTAGGCACGGGTTTCCATTATGTAGTAGTATGGCATCTCCCTTTCCCTTATGCTGGTCTTTTTATTTCTTCAGGTAAACCTAAAGTGTATAACCTTCAGATGGAGAAGTCAGTAGTAATCACAAACAGTAAGCCCCATTAAAGTCTTTTGATTGTCCTAGAAATAGCTACTCCCCGATGTTAAAAGTTAAGATATGCTTTATAAGAAGGAAGGTTTGCTTGTTTTTTCTTCATCTACAGTACTTGATGCCACACAAATCTTTATTTTTATTGATGAACACTGGCAACTCTAATTTTTAGAGGGGTTTTTGTGTGTGTGTGGAATTACTTAACATAGCACAATGTTCAGACAGGTGTGGGTGTTTATTCTTCATATCTAGGGAATGAATGTGCAGTTCAGCACATGAGCAAGCCTTAATCATATGCCTATTCAGGCAAATCCTTGAGTCTACAGGCATAGCAGAACTGACCCTATCATTAGGCCGAATGAGGCAATCGCTTAAGATTGTAGGGGCAGGGAAATGTAACAAGGTACTGGAGGACACAACGGTGTGTGCCATACAGCCTGCCCTATATTCCTTTTCCACAATCTAGTCTAGTTGTCATCATGTTTTGCAGATCAACAGTGCTCCACTGCCAGTGTTGAAATAAGATTCAGCTGCCAGTCCAACTGGTTTTTGAGAATGGAATGGCATGGATACCATCTTTCCCTTTGCCTCTTGCAGCAAAGTGTTGTAGGCTGGCCCTGACCATAGAAGAACTGAAATGAACCATGATATGGATCATGGGCCATCTTTATGGATCTTGTAAACCCTATATACCATCAAATTGTTCTTATGTTGACCATATGTCACAGCACTGCAGCCCTTTTAAAAGCAAAACCTCAGCTTTTAAAACAGCTGCAATGCTAATAAATGTAAATGTGACCTACATTGCAAATTGCAGTATCAGTGCTCTGGAAAGCTATTTTTGAAGTATGGATTGATGCCTTGAGCCATCAAATCTTTTCTCAGTCCTCTTTTTGAAAGAACCTGAAATAAAACTCAGAAACCATTAGCCACAAAAAGAACCAGGATTTTAAGAGTCCTGGAAAAAAAATCCTGATATAATCCTGGTAAAAAATTATAAAATCCATCCTGGTAGGCAGAAGTAGTTCTTCAGTTCCTGGCAAAGATCAGGCAGTCGTGCATAGGAAGATTCTGGAGAATATTGAGGTAAAGACATTCAATTGCAGCCACCTTAGATATTCCTGTCTACCTCTGATGTGTTGTACCTTCTTATTTCTTGCTCTCTGCTTGTGGTGATAGCACACTGGCATCTCAGTGTTCATAATCTGTAGGCTCCAGGGCCAGGTTCAGGTTTGAGTGCCCTCCTATGGTCTTACCCCACAGCCCCATGAACAGCCACTGGTCCATAGCATGCTTCATTTCAGCCAGATCTGTGGTCAGGTCCAGCCTACAACAATTTGCTGCATGAAGCAGAAGGAAAAATGGTGCCCATCCAACTGCATTTTCAAAAGCCAGCTGGACAGACAGTTGAATTTTACTTCAGTATTGCCATTGACATTTCTTTGGCCTCATGGTGCCTTGATTCTTTTCTTGTTTTCTTAGTGTTCCATTAAGAACAGCTGGGAGCCCAGAGTACTTATTTCAGGCAGTTGTTTCTGACTGTGACTGCCTTGCCCACTGCCTACTGCTAGGCAATTCTTTAAAATTAACCCACCACAAGGAGACTGGTATCAGCCACTGTGAGGCCCCTGGAACTCATTCATCCCACTATTGTTCCAATCATGCTGCGTACTGATGCTGGGCTTATGTGTATTTCTAACGTAGGTTAGGAAGCCCTGAGTGTGTGAGGCCTAAGGCTCATAGATAGCATTTCATGAGGTAAATCTGTGCCTGCAGTTTAAAGAGGGAGGCCCACATAATATAATGCTGCTCCATATTTTTTAAAAACTCCACTGTTACGTGGATGGGATTTTTGTATCAAGGAGCATGACATTCTGTAATCAGTTTTGAGATGGTCCTCAGGAAAGCACCTGCTGGTGTGGCCCTTCATGTCTCATTTACATCCCAAACAGTAGCATCACCTGTCAGGGCAGAAGTCGACAGCAGCAACCACCTAATGGCAATAATTTAATTGCTCCAAATTCCTTGGAAAGATGGTACACTGGTGTCAATGTGAAAAATGTAAATTTTAGCACCCAGATATTGAGCACTCATTGAATGCTGAAGGAAAAGGAAAGATCTAAAGCAGGCATCAGAAGCTGTAAGACCTCCTGGAGTGCTGAGTCTTCAGTGGCTGCTCAGAGACATGGAATGTTGACCTTGGTCCTTCATGTGCATCTTCCCTTTGCTCTGCAATGATACTGCCCAGACATGGGTTCATTACCATGTCTTAGGTAGGTATTTATGAACTGGTAAAAAAGAGGAAATGACTCACCAAAATGAGGACAACAAGATGGTGCTAACTTTCCATGTGTACGTTATATGCTGGTTTATAAAGTAAATACAAGCTTAAAACTATTATAATTTAAATAGAAACCTAGTACTTCTCACCCCATAGTGTGGAAATCTGGGAGCCAAGATAGCTGTGCCTGTTCATTCTGCTGTCCAGGTGTTGTCAAAGGCATCTTCCAGACTCTTGGATGGTTCTTTATACAGGACTTAGGCTGGGCAGTGCTTCTAACAGAAGACACCATCAAAATAGAGGAGAGTCCTCTGACAAATAGAGGACTGTCTTCTGTAAAAGAGAACACATGGCCACTGTACCATCTCTCTTTTCATGAGGTCTAGGTCCAAAAACCTTGGGCCACTTTATGACACCCATTTAAATTATTCCTTCCTGAATATATCAGTAGTATGAGAACTACTTCTATTCCTTGATGTTTAGATCAAGGAATCATATCCTTACTCATAAACAGTTTTGTACATGGTCCATAATATGGCAATTATTCTTTAAAACTATTATATGGAATGCCACAGTTAACCATTTGGGCTAATTATCCTTGTGATGCCTTCCTTTGTATTTTCAGTTTTTAAATGAAATTATTTATAAACATATAGGGATGTGACTTGATAATCATAATCACTGCTTCTTACTATTTTTTCCCCAAGGACTTTTATTCTGAATGAATCCAGGCATGAATAAATAAAGGGTATTTCCAAACAGAGGGTCCCATAAGACATTGTGCAGCTATTCAGCATTTTCTTTCTTAACGAAATTTCCACAGTAAGAAAAAGGAAGAAATGGTGGGAAAACACGGGAGGGTTCTGAGTGGAACATGGTCAACATCTAGGCCTCCTGGAAAATTCTATGAATGAGGCGGGGCACTGGCCCAAGTAAAAGCCTTCTCTAGAAACTCCCAATATTTTGAACTCTTAAGCCAAAGAAGACTCCAGTGCTTTTAATAACTATGTTGCAAGGAAAACACCATCAAATCTGCCTTCTTAATACTGCTGCTTATGGAAATAGCCCTGCTAAATATCTCCTTGGCATGCAGCCACTGCAAGTAATACAGCTAAAGTAGCGATCTTATTAGCAGGTATACGTTCATAGGGAATGGACTATATTCTTTTTCTTTGCCAAAATAAAAAAAACAAGTTTACAAAAAGAAAACTTGTTTAGTCACTGTTCTGAAAGGAGGAGGAGGACATTTTGGTACAAAAGATTATTTTAACCTTCATTTATATCCTTAAGTTAATTATCAAAGGAATTGACAGTGATACATCTTATCTATGCCATCTGACACTTTGTGAGCTCCACCTGTTTGCTTCCTTCTTCCTGTCTTTTTGTAAAAAGCCAATCATGGGAGGTGTGGAGGTCATGGGGGAGTCTAACTTTCACAGACACTACACCAATGCCTTTGGGAAATATCAAAATGTTACTTGGAATAGCATGAAGAAGAGGAAGGAGCAAGTTGGAGAGACAACTGGGGAAAAGTGAATAGAACGCAAAGGCTGTCAGCTGTATTTGGAGCTGGTCTTTGGCAGGATTAAGCTGTCTTAGTCCTTTTAGGCCATCCCTGAAGATTAGTCAGGGGTGGTCTTTGGACTGGAGGCAAAGTGAAGAGAAGCTTAACAGCAATTCTCAGAGCTAGTCTGTGAAAGCTCTGAGAAGCCTGAAGCAACCAAATATGCATATGTGGTATATGGCTACATATTTTTCCTTGGGAAAAAGATGTACATTACCCTTGATGCTTGATTCTCCATCTTCGGAGAATGAAACATTGGCCTAGCTTATATTATATATTAAGGAATGGACCCAGGTGCATAGGAGCAGGAATAGTCCTTAATTTCATACAGTGAAGCCTTCAAGCAAATAAACAGCTGCCAGAGTTGGCCACATTGTGGTTGCCCTGTCTGAATGAAGCCATGCTACCCGACACCCACAGGGATGGACCTTTCCATGATGCAGCCCAATAGCCACCTGGGGGAAAGGTCTGTCCACACATTCCTCCGAGAAGGGGGGCTTCCCCAAAGCAGTGGGGAAGGCACAGCTGTACCTATTCCTTGGAGCATCTCTTCTTGTCTTCAAAGTGTCTGGACAGCAAAATTGTGTACTGGTTAGAGAAATTTGCCACCTAGTGCCTCAACATGGTTCTTCAAACACGGAGATATATTGTAATTAATTAAATTTAATAAATGTATTTAAAAAAAAAAAACAGAATAAACTTGATGTACACACCTCTAATTTTGTATGCATCCAAGCTTTTGGTGTCTGGATTTCTCAGTCTGATATCACTGAGCAGACAGACAGACATCATCATTTATCCACTGTCCTTTAACAAATCCAATTGTTAGATATGGCATATTGATATCAGCAAATAGATACTTCAAGAGATGCTCCTCTCACCTGAGCTAAGAAAAGGCGTAACTATCCACATGTTAGGTCTCTGTCATCTCTTGGCAGCAGAGCAGCAGGAGGGGCAAGATGGGAAAAATTTCCAGGGCAGAAACCCCAAGCTAACTCAAAGACAGCACAGGCATCTCCAGAAAAGCAGCAGCAACTCCTGTACAGAGGTTCCAAGGGCAAAACAGGTGGAAATCATCAAGTCCTCAACACAATCTCTCTCCCCTCTTTTGAGATATAAAATGTCTTATATACTTATGTTAGGGAGCAGCGCAGGCGTCAGGTTTCTGAGGCCCTTTAGCAAGATATCCTCAGTGTGTCTCCTCCCTTCTTGAGTCTCCCCTCTCACTGCCATTGTCACCAGCTGCTAATGCTCCTCTTCTCCATTGAGTAAGCATCTGCTCCTCCTTCTCACCATGACCATTCTCTGGTGACTGAAAGGCAAGTGAACAAACAGGTTGCAATGGTGAAGAGGAGGAACAGGTTCAAGAAGCTCCTGTCAATGGGCTGCATTCTTACCCTTGATACAAGCCCTGTTGCTCATAGCTCAGTGGTAGAGACTTTGCTTTTGCCTGAAGAAGTCCTCAGTTCATGCACTGGCATCTCCACTTAAAAGGAGATGGCAAGGAGCAGGTGAGAAGAAAGCCTTTGAGACTCTGGGGAGCTCCCACTGCTCAAAGTGGAGCTCCTGTCAGGACAGATAATAGATAAATAATCCGACCTTACACGGCAGCTTCCAATGTCCCATTTTATTTGATCTTTATGCTTTAAGTGATTCTGATGGGGATTTTTTTTCTTCTGCATTCACAGGCCTGAAAGAAAAACTGAGCAGCCAATGTGTGAAGAACATGAAGATGAGAAAATTAATATTTACTGCCTGACTTGTGAAGTGCCCACATGCTCAATGTGCAAAGTTTTTGGTGCTCATAAAGATTGTGAGGTTGCTCCACTCACAAATGTTTACCAAAGACAGAAGGTAAAACAAAAACAAAAAAGTCTTGAGGAATTTTCATCAGTATAGTTCTCATAGCTTAAAAAAACATAAGCAAACATAATGATAAGCTCTCCCCTGACATTAACTAACAGTGGTGCAGGGTTGTAGTTTCAGGTATCCTATTTATAAACATTAATTAGTCAGGAGTGCATGGGGGTGATTATGTGGGAAACTCAGATCTAGAAAAGCCTCACCAAGGTCATCTTGCTGAATTTCTGCAAAACTTGGCTTAAACAGTCCAAAACTTAGCTTGAACAGCTTTCATACAACACAGTTGTCCAAATGAAGCTGCTGCTCCATGGAAGCATTTGGTAGTCAAGGTTTCCCATTTAACTACAGTAATGTGTGGAGCATACCTGTGATAAGCATGCCTAGTTTCTCAGCCTGTTTACATGCGACCTGCCAAATGAAAAATCAATATCAGAGCTGATTCCAGATTTCAGATGGCCCTCAGCTAAGTACCCCCTGGCGTGGCCTTTCCTACATCAGAGGGTTCCTTTGGCACTATAGGCTTTACCTGGTGATTGTGTCAAATAGCAGCATTGCAGCAGAGTGGCCATTTTAATTTTGCACAATGTCCCTGATGTAACATTGCAGGGCATTGTAGGAAAGGTACACGAAAACTTCCAGGCCCATATACTCTGTCTGTGTCCATTTTAATTCTGCACAACACCCTGGAGTGATGCTAGAGCCATTCTGGTAAATAAAAATAGTGCTCTTCCAAACCAGTCACCATTCAGTCGTCAAATTGGAGCACTGATTTAATCAGGGCACAATCAAGCATAACCAGTTAGTTCAAATGGGGACTGAGCCTTCAGTGGTGGTCATGTGCTTATAATCATTATGATAATTGAATTTGCTCTCCTCTGAAGTCATTCCTGTCTTTAGTGTTTTTTAAAATCAGTGTCCAAACATTCATAAAGTCAAATTCAGGCTCAGACCCATATCCTAGACATAAGAAAGAGAACATACATCTGTTTGCAAATGAGTACATTTCTGTTTACTTTTCAATTAATAAAGAGAAATTTTATTTTGCCAGTCATTTCTTGGGTATGAAATAAAAAGGCTCAGCTATGCTCCTAGATCCTTTGCTGCCATCTATAAAAAGTCTGTTTATTTTTAACGCAGCATTCATAAACAGCTCTTCATTTGGAATATCCTCATGAGAAATGCAACCCAATTTCTTGAAAACCCTATTGGGGTTGCCGCCAGAAAGAGCCAGTTTTCAAAGGACAGCTTTGGATGGAACCCATACTTATATTTATTTGTAAACACTAGAGCTGGGTAGATACTGTGTAGGGAAAAAGCATCCAGTTGAACAAATCGGATGCTCTCCATAGCTTCCTTTTATCTCCTGACAGAATTTATGCGAGATTATGCTCGCATAACAAAGATATTTGTGGAAAGGATCACGAATCTATATTTGAATGATGAGATTTTCGCCAGAGATAACAAAATAACTATATATATATATATATATATATATATATATATGCCCTCCCAAGCTGAAATATTTAAGAGAGAGTTCAAAGACTGTCCTGAAAGTTTTAAAATTTCAGCAAAAACGATGAGCAATTTAGAGGCCAGCATGGGGCAGTGTAAAATAATTTCAGAAGGGCAATGAAATCCTGCCAATCAGATTTTAATTATACAATATTCCCAAACAGGAAAAGGAGCTCATTCAAGCTTTAATCTTATTTATAATTACATAGAAACATAGAAACAGCGAGTCAGAAAGGGCCTCCCGGGCCATTTACTAATATTACCTATGAGTAAATCCCATTACATTCAACGGGGGTTACTTCTCATAGCAATCCTCATAGGATTATACTGTCAGTGAAATAGAGTCTGTCATGGTAGCTTCCTCTGATGCAAAAGTATATTATTAGGTCATTTTATTTATCTGTGGTTTTCAAAACAGGCTTGTTTGTATCTTCCAACAGTAAAGTATGCACATTTTCCAACACCCTTTCAGATCATTTTTTGTAAGGGATCAAGGAATCGTGTTAGCAATGCTTTAAATTCTTCCAAAGTACATTTATGTTTATTTTATGTTGTAGTCTGAACTCAGTGATGGCATTGCAGTTCTTGTGGGGAGTAATGACAGAGTGCAAGGAATAGTAACGCAGTTGGAAGAAACCTGCCGAACAGTTGAGGTAAGGAAATTCATTGAATTCTGTTTTCTAAGATTGTGTAGGCAGAAATAGCTCATTTGTGATGTTCGATTTAATACACTCTAAAAGGTGCATATGAAGAATTGCCTATTTCCAGGTTCTTTTTGACTGAGGAAGAGTGTTGTGCTGTTCCAAGGCTTGCCATTCTTTCCTCCTCTAAGATATCTTGAGAAATTAAATGGTGTGTCAGAATGGAGGCTGGCTCCAGGTCTGAGGGAGCAAACATCAATACAATGGCATGCTCTGCCTGTGCAGGGGCTCCAGGATGCTGCCTAAGAATCTTAGTTCATTCTGGCTTAACATTAAAAGATGCAATGAAAAGAACTGCTGATAGACATACTGAACTTTTCCATGGCAGAACAAAATCTTTCTCAAAGAGTTAATTGTCTACTGTTGCTGGGCCTACATGACCTTGGTTAATGACCCGCTGTTTGCCACCATCTTACCTCAGGAGCCATAACTCCCATGAGAGTTAATTAGAGAGTCTCAGTGCCTAATTGGAATACCACCTGGTTTGCTGACTCTGCACCCTTATTCCAGAGAGGTCACTAAAGGCATCTGAAACCTGCCACCCCTCTCATGACATTTTTCAGATGCAAGAAATGGGATTTCTCTTTCAAGATAAGATTTCAAGATTAGTAAGATATTAATCACATGTAAGTTTGCTGCCCTCACCCGGCAGTGCTTAAAAAAAAACACAAAACAAAACCTGAAGCAGCTGTCCAGACTGCAGTGTCCACCAAGAGGCTGGGGTGGGGAGCATCGTAACTCCTCCTTCTTTGCCAAGTCTTTAGATCACCGCTTCCCAGCTGATTATGGCCCTGTGGCAAAAAGACCAGATATTTCTGGGATGGAGCAATTTGGAGCTGGAAAACTGGCAGAAGAGAATGATGCCCTTCTTCCTCTGCTCACATAGCAGACAACACGTGCTGGTCTGCCATGTATGGTTTGAACCTCAGGTAGCGCTGCTAATTCTGTTCTAGACATTGCATGTCTAGATGTTCATGCTATCCTTCACTAAAAGAAGTTGGCTATTTATTTATTTTATATACTGCCCCTTAGCCAAAAAAGTTTCTCTGGGTAGTTACAAGAAGTCAGGTTATCAACAGCAGGAATGTATATTGGGTATAAACTATGTAGACAATATGCAACCTCTGTGGACTCAGGGAGTCTCTAAGATGATGCATCATGCTTTGCTTCTTTTCTAACATGGTTCTTCTTTGGGAATTTGTAGCTGTGGAATAAGCCCCTGAGAAGCTCATAGGTAGCACTGCCAGGTTGCCACTCAAGGGAACCACACTGTACTTTTAAATTCCTGGGTACAGAAAGAATCAAGGCATCCTGCTGATTCTGTTCCTTCTGTTCCCATTACCATCCACTTACATAACATGCTGAGTGTCACGGTGCCACCAAAGATCCCCTGTCCTGCCTGCCCCTTCCTTTCACCACTGCTTCTGCCACACTGCTGACTGCGCAGAGGATGGGCAGCTGCTCCAGAAGTCAAAGAAAACCAGGGGAGAACTGGGAAGGAGACATTGCAGCTACCTCAGGGAGAGAATTGTTCTCTGGGTCGCAGCCCACAGCAGGTATCAAATAGAAGCACTGGCATTTGTGAGACCAGTCTCAAATGTTGTAGATAGTACTTTTTTCCCCAAAAGGGGTTTATTGTGACACAATTGCATTTGTTTTTTAGGCACAGATTTCTTTCATGAAGCCCTTGGCAAATCTTTGCAACAGTAATTAAAACCACATGTATATATACATGGATATATATATATATATATATATATATATATATATATATGGCAATTGGAGCAGCATTGTGAGGAGAACTGGGGAGAAACCCAGCTTCAAGTGGGGTTGAAAAAAGGCAATTAGCAGCAGACGACGACTGCATTCATATCCTGACTTTTTTTTTCCGTTGTGAGGAACCCAAGGCTGCTTACATAGCTCCATGTTATTCTCACAACAACTGCGGAAAGTCTGTGCTGAAAATCTGTGACTGGCCCAGAGTTACTCAAAGTGCTTCATGGCAGAGTGGGGACTAGAACGCAGATCGTCCAGGTCCCCAGGCCAACACTCTTAACTACCATGCCACACTGGCTCTTGTGTGTACTTTAATAAATATCCATCTAAACTAGTTTAAATACTCACCCTTTGTTTCTGAGAAGTCTGATCAGGAACTCCTACATTTATGTAGCAACTATAGGAGGCCTGATTGGAATCAGAACCAAGGCACTGGGAGAGGTGACTAACTTTTTCCTCCTGTGCTGCCATCCCAGTAAAATCCTATCCTGAATGTGGCTCTTTGGCCCTTTTATTCACATAGTATCTCTATGTTTTCCTCCATGGAAAACATGGGATAATTAGGAGTTTGAGGGGAGGAATTCTAACCTGGAAAAGGGCAAAACATGAAGTTTTAAACCTCCCAGCCTGTTAGTTTTGATCCAATTCAGTGGGCACCATGTCAGCTATCATTTATTTCAGACAAAATCTTCAGGCATTATTGATCATGTCATCTCCCTTGTCACAACTTTGCCCTCAGTAGAATGCCTTACACAAAATACTGAAAGAACCCATATCTATAATGCCTATATACCAAAAGAAGAAAGCAGTTAAAATGATTAAACCACCATCCCCAATGAAAAGATGTAAATGAGATATCAAAGTCAAGAATGCTTAAATTTCAACATCTTGTAGTTCTAATTGGCAGAAAAATGCATCACTACTCTTTCTGTTGACAAAGCACAGAAGAGGAAATAATTTACCAAAGGTGGTTCAAAGCCTCTAAAACTCCTGTGTCAAGGAAAGAAAAAATACTTCAGCAGTTAAAACTTTGTTGTCAGGAAGTCCTTGCATTGCAAGGATGAAATTGGTTGCTATCAGGAATTTGCAGACCGAAATGAGCCTTTCAAGTAAGTTTACTGGAGGAATTAGGATCAAACCAAAGCGGATGCTCCTTAACACTGAAGCTTTAACAAACTTAAACAAAACCAAGACCTCAGAAGGATTATTGAAATGATACATTAAGAAACCCAAGCAATTTCCAAGGCCAATGTCATGTTATTCCAACAATGACTCACTTGGGTGCAATGCTCACTTTTTTCAACTGTCTGCTTTCCACATTTAAGTTGAGAGATGGAGATGCTCATCAGTCCTTTCACCTTCATAGTGCTTAATAGGCTTTGCATCCATAAATAACCCAAGCGATTCTGGAAAACAGCTTTCATAGTGTTTTCCATGGTTAGTATATTTTTATCATTCAGAGTAGTCTTTCCTAACCTGGTGCCATCCAGTTGTCCTGGACTATAATTCTCAGCATCCTCAGGAAGCATGCCTCAAAACAATTAAAATACAATAATTCTATAATGTAAAACTAATAAATATAAAATGAACTACTTCAGATTAAAATCCCGGGCAGGATTCACCATATAAAACATTATCTATTAGCAGGTTGAATACTTGCTGGGACAGAAAGCTCTCACTGAATTGACAGAAAGCAATGAGGAAGAGGGTCAAATGAACCTCATGAACTCAGGTATCCCATAGTCTTTGTGTGGCCACTGAGAAGGTGGTTCATCTCGTTCCAGCTAATCATGGCTTCACCACCAAAGAAGGGCCTTTAATCAAATTGTAAAACGTGGACAGGTTGGCATGGGAGGAAGTATTAGTGCAACTATTCTTCTTGATTTCACATCACCTTCCTGTCCATGGGACATCAGTTTGATTTTTGGCATTTATCAAGCTGAGAGAATCACCTGGAACTAAACTATACCCAACCCGCTTTCTGTTCTGGTGAAAGGTATAGATTGCACTGTTGAGCCAGAGTGATTTAGGCAGCCCATGTCTAGGGTTCCTGCACTATGGATTAAGACAGAATATTTTCTGACCTTTCTTAAATTAGCTCACTGAAAACGTTGAGCAAGGCGCAGCTACCAAAATAGACGATTATTTTCCTTGTAGTTTCAAATGGAAAGGCAGATCCTGCTGAGCTATATTTAGCTTCTATTATCACCTACACAAAGTTTTTGAGTCGTTGATTTATGTTTAGAAAAAATGTATTTCAACTAATGCAAATGTAATATATATGATATGACCTGAGAGCAATAATGGGTGAGTATAAAAGTCTACCAACTGGAGAAATACTTTAAAAGTGGGTGCAGCTCATATTTCTGATAGTTTATTATTGACTTTAAAAATAGTTGTCATGTTCAGCACAACCCTTTACAGTATTGCAGTTTTGATAAATTAACCCAGGATTTTCCAAGGTTTGCCTATATATTTTGAAGCAATCTTAGCCCTCCATCACTGTTTCTGAACACTCAAGACAAGACACTCTCTTTTCAGTTGCCTAGCACCTGTGAAGCATTGTTCTTCAAACACATTTCATTTACAGAATCACCAAAGCTCCTTAGCCTTTAAAAGCCAGCATTTGAGTTCTTCAGCTTTTTAATCATCTCCTTGTTCAGAAAGCAATTCCTAGCCTTTATGGAAATAAAAAATGCAGACAAGCAATATCATGCTTTTTAACATAAGGCAAACTACTCATTCACAGGAGTGCTGTAAAGGACAGAAGGAACAACTATGTGAAAGATTTGATTATTTGTACTCAATACTGGAAGAAAGAAAAAGTGAGATGACACAAATGATCACTAGGAGCCAAGAGGAGAAATTGGAACATGTCCGGTCTCTGATAAAAAAGTATGCAGACCATTTGGAGACAGTGTCAAAACTGGTGGAATCTGGCATCCAGTTTATGGAAGAGCCAGAAATGGCAGTATTTTTACAGGTATGTAACAGAAGGATAAAAAAGACAATAGCATCTTGCACATTCTATTTAATTATAACCTTTTTGCTCTGCTTTCCAAGAGAAGGTTTCCAAAGAGGCTTAGAAAGAAAAGAAATAAAATACTCCCAGCTCCCAGGCTTACAGTCTAAAAGGCATCAGACAAAGGAAAGGTAATTGCACAAGAGGGAGAAAAAAGCAAAATCAGGCATTGGATTCTTAGTTGCAAAATTCAGCTGATCATTGAGTTGGATCAAAACATAGCAGAAGGACTGCTGCTTCATCTTGCTTTGAAGGCCTCAGTAGTGGCAGTTGATAGTAGGAGGTGGCTTGGTGTGTCTCAGTTGGACCTCTATCCAGACACAATGAAGGGTTATTGCAAATATTTGCTATGTGGTAGGATGTATGGACATGGCTTTGTTACCATCATGATGAAGGGTGGACAAAAGGTAGATACAACTAAGTTATTTTTTGCATAAATCAGTTTAAATGTTGTAATTTGTACCTATTATTTTAAAAATCCAATTATATTCATACAGTTTGTCAATGGGAGGTAAGCCCTAAAGCACATGCTAAAATCAGATTTCTATTTTTTTAAATGGCCACAACTCCCCATTCCAGAAAATCACTGCCCTTACATCAAAAGATAATAAATTTCTCTTATTTCAGAACATGACAGATCTGCAAAGAGATCTCAATATACTGCAGCATCTCATATGTTTGCAGTTTTGAGCTGGGAACTTCACCTACACCATTCTATTCATAGACTTTATAGATAGAGTCAAGGCTGGATTATTTGTTATGTTAAATACACTAAAGCTTAGAAGCCCAGGTAAATCAAGTCCCTTTGCACAGTATAATTATCTTGGAGTTTCCCAAATAAAAAGTGTACATGTCCTGTTCTTTTTTAAATCTTCTTTTCTTATACAGATAGATATTTAAAAATCTGCTTAAGAGCTTATAACTGATTATTATGTCACTCATTACTTGAGAACGGAGCAGTGGCAGTATTCATACCTGGAGGGAAATGTGGCATCACTGCTCTTAAGTACTTAGAGTATTACATTATTAGTAGTCTGCTCTGCCTAGCCTAAGTAACAGAATAATTGTACTTTCTGTCTCTGGGAAAATGTTTACATGTGACTTACAGGTGTAACAACATCAGTCCTTTCCCTCCACAGGTGTGCCAGTGTGTGTGGCATATACAGGGAGAGACATGGCTGTGTATGAGTAGTCTTTAAAATGTAGCATATCTGCATGGGTCAAAGCATTAGGATGCAAGGGGATTTTATTATACTCTTTGTAGAATTCCTTATGGTAAGAGATACTATATTTGCTAAATATATCTTCTTATACTTTGCATAAGAATTAACCTGCAACCTATATGCCTAAACAAGAAATAAGAACAATTTAAGAAATTATTTCATTTATTATATTTTGTTTTTCACAGAATGTGAAAGTGTTGCTACAAAAGTAAGTTGTTCCTTTTGAAAAAATGTTTGCCTTTCCACATTTATCATAAATCACCAATTTTCAAAATGTTCATTTGTAAAATTGAGCACAAATGTCATAATCTATTTTCTATTTTAGAATTACGGAAGCTTCTAAGGCATTTCAGATGGACAAAATAGAGAACGGCTATGAAAATATGAGCCACTTCACAGTCAATCTCAATAGAGAAGAAAAGATAATAAGAGAAATTGACTTTTGCAGAGGTACATGTCTTCTTTTTCAAAATCCAATTGCTTTTGTTTTTTAACTGAGGAAGTGCACATTTTTTATTTTAAAAAATCCTGACAGGATTATAATGGAGAAACCTTTTTGACATTCCACAAATATAGCAAGGGTATTTTATCTGCTTCTTAATCAAAAGCAAACTCTCATGAAAACTAACACACCATACTGAAAATATAATTTTTGCTTTAATAGAATCTGGGGCTTTGGCACTTATGTTGTATATTCCCATTTTTCAAAAGGCAGACATTCTGTATACACCAAAGTTATTAACCTTTATCTGGCCTGTTTATATGACTAAGCAGAGGCACAGCAATTATTCCCAATAGTGATGCATGGGAAAACATTTGCTTGAGTAAAGATGCTTATGTTATGTGATAAGAGAAAGGGACTCCATGGTAAGTGTTTACCCAGCTAGAAAGATTTAATTACTACCAATACTATTCTTTCAGCAATATTAACTCACCAGGACAATTATGCCTACCTGGAAACATAAAAATTAATAATGTGTGTTTACATGATCAATTTGAAGATGAGATTCTAGTACTCATGGAATTTGTTGATACACTTAAGGGTGGGGAGACCTTTTGCCACTTTTGATGTTATTCAGAATTTCAGAGGTACTGGCATTTTGCCCCGGGTTGTTTTTCTCCATGTGCAAAAGTATATATTCTGTTAGGTGGAGATTGAGAGTCAAGGCCCTAGCCAGCTGTCTCCACCACTCTTAGGAGGCTTGCTAGCAGCCTTTTTCTGTCAGTGAAGTAAGGCAGCTTATTCTATTCCCACTCCTTGAATCAGGAGCATGGACCACGGCTGTAGCAGGTCCTTCCCTCCAGCATATTTAAGGCAGTGACGAATCTGATTAGCTTTGCAGGGAATGTCTCAACAGCCTGGAAAATGTTTTTTTTTTTTTTTTTTGCCTGGACTTATTGTGACCTCTTGTCTGCTTTTAATCCTGCATCATTAAATCTTGACTTTGATTTTGTGTGGATTCCAGTCTTGGAACTTTCTCTTGAACAAAGCAACGTGCCAATAGCTTCTGTCTTGGCTATTTGAGTCACTGGGGTCCATAAAAACTATAAATGTCTTACCATGAACTCTGGAAGCTGCTCTGAGCAACCTAATTACCTGCAGGAAAAAAAAGTTGTTATTTGTATCCTTACCTGGTTGCCAGAGTGTGCCTGAAAGTCAGGCTTAACTAATAATGGAATTTCTTTAGTACAGGACACTGAACAACTTTTAGCCCAAGGGACAAATTCAATTTCAGAAAAGCTCTTGGGCCCACATTCCAATGGGTGGGGAACCAAGATAAAAATATCAAATGATCAACAGAAGGATGAAGTTAGGAATGACCTGGTGAGATGAGGAAAGAGGCATGCCTATTTGAATAACCCCATCGATCTAGATTTGGCTCCTGAGTCTGAGTTTCAGCACCTCTACATTCCTGGGATCATACCAAAAATACTCTTATAGACCAGAACGATAAATTGAAACTGGCACTGTATTTACAAAGAATGCACACATTTTATTTTAGGGTTGTATTTTATCTCTGTGTTACCTTAGAGGAGGAGGAAGAAGAGGAGGAGGAGGAAGAGGAGGGGGATGTGGCTGAAGGGGAAGGACTGGATGAAGTCCACACAGAATCATCTGATGAGGAAGAAGTCCCTGAGCAAGCATCTCAGCAACATCAGCAGGACACTGTGTCAAAAGACATCCTAGCTGATTCTCAAACAAACTTCACACCCGCATTACCACCTCTGGGACCAGATAATGCTGCCAGCACAACTACTCAGGTAACTGTTTGGAGCAATTCTTGTTCCATTAGCTGTGTCAAATATTTTCTCCCTATTCTAGTCCCTGTATTGATCAAAAGTTTAAGGAAGACATTGGACTGTATCTAATGGTAGCTTTAGGTTTGTGGATTTCCTTATGCACATGGCATCACCCAATATCTGCTGTCCCACCCCATGCACTGCTGCTCCCTGTACCCCCTGAACTCACATTGGAGGGTTGGAGGACAGAGTGTTGCAGTAGATCACTGGAAATGAAAACTGAACATCTCACCTGGTACGAAACAACTAATGGATACAACCACAATTATTTAGTTACAGATTAAAGTGATGCTCTAATAAATAGAATAACATTAGTGGATAAACCCCACACAACCCCCTTTTCCTCCTTCTAGCTTGACTACTGCACAAATGAGCTGAGCTGGAACAAGGAAATGTAACAGGCAGAAGAGGGCTACAGTACCTTTTATCTACACGCCTCTTTGGCCTTTCAGTTGCAACCCCATCCCTGCTATATATGACTGGAGGAGACCTACATTTAAAGCAGTGGGTGACCTCTCTTGTCTGGGGTCTAGAATTCTTTCCTAGACCAAGCTGGCAGGCCAGATGACATTATGCAGGGGACACACTACGTCCAAAACTACCCTTATCCTATAACAGCATCACATGATCCCTTACGCACATTTCCCCCTCTTTCTTTCTCCATGCAGAGATCCATGCCTCTTCCTGCATGGAGAAAGTGATTGGGCTGCTGCATGCAAGGTCCTGTAAGCCTCAGTTGAGTCCTTCCTGTACTGCTCACATCCCTATTGGCACAGAAAGAGAGCTAATCAGTTTAAAGTTGGCAGTCTGCTGATTTAAAGCCTGCTGTCACCTAAAAAACAGGCAACATAATAAAATGGCTGCTACTTAGCCAAATTTAGGACATATGGAGAGAAGCATAGTTCAACTAATTTGCATAGTAGAATAAAAATCTAGATTTCTTCAGAAGCAAAGGCCCAATTTAACTGAAAAAAGGTTGTACCAATGTTGCAGTCAGGATCAGAGTTGGATGTCTCACTCCTGAATGCAATTGTATGGCATGTGCTTAGAACTGTGTATATTCTAAGTGACTGATAATCATTTTATTAGAATATGTAGCATTGCCAACATAAACTTAGCATACACTGGCATATCTGTTAGCATACAATTTATCCTATTTGATTTCCCTCTCGTGGGCATGCCATACAGTCATTTCTGCACTGTCATGGTTCTCAGAATTATACAGAAATCAAGGCAAATAGACAATGCTGGCGCAAGCCAGTCAGTGTGATGTGGTACAATAGATTCCTCAGCTACTGTTTTTAAAACACCATGGGTGCAGGGAGGCATGATTGGCTAGAAGGAGATAGGGTAGAATTTCATCAAGGACTGTCCTACCTTTCCACTCATGATTCAAACACTGGATCCACGTAGCAACTTAACCAGGTCATAGAAGGTAAAACACATTCAAATATACTTATATATAGAAACCAAGGACATCACTCATTGCCTATGGTAGCACTTTATAATAGGATTAAATTTGAAAGGGCTATTTGGCTGTAATTAGGCATGACCGAATCTGTCCAGCTTCATTTTGTTCAGGTTCTCATTTTTTCAGTGCTAAGTTTGTTCGATCCTATTTCCACATTGCATTGCAATTATTATTTTTTTCTAGTCTGCATGAAAATTTGTATGTACTGTCACACATATTTTCAGAATACACATTAGTCTGTGCTTTTTAAAATGTATACATTCTTTTTAAAAGATTTCTCCAGTGAATGAAATGTTTTTGTGCACATTTGCCAAAACATGCATATTTTTGTGCATATTTTTACCAAATGTATGAATTTTTATCCATTTTTCTCTACAAACTGTATCACAAGCTTCACAAAACCACTTCACAAAATTCCAGTTCTTCTTTTGGTTCATGCTTAAAGTGACAAGAGCTGCATAAGCTCTTACCCATCCTTAACTGCAAACAGTAAATCCAGTTTTTAATCTCAAATGTACTGATTCGAAAGGCTAATTTTAAGGCAAAGAAAATCCTTTCTTAGTTATACTACACAGGGGAGGGAACATATACCATCGTTCATACTTATATCAACATTCAGTGTTCATTGCTTCTCTTCTCTTCTCTTTTCATCTGGTCTTATTAAGGGTGAAGTTGTGCTGACCGCTAATCAGAAATCTGCAGGACCAGTAGAAACTAAACCACAGTCTAATGGAGAGCCAATTGATCCCTTGTTTTACCCCAGCTGGTATAAAGCTCAGCAGACCCGCCAAACAAGCAATTCAGATATAGCCCCGGTGACTGAAACTAGGCAGGTAGGGTCTTCCATTTCTGTAGAAGTGAAAGCAAAGAAGGCAGAAGCTCCCTCAGCAACTACTACAAATGGGAGTTCTGCTGCAAGTGGTAAGGAAGCTAACTCAACTACGGATACTTCACAGGTTAGTATATAGCTGCAGAGTATGTTGTATTCAATCAGGATTCTACATGGAATATAAAACTAAAGGAAGGGGAATCTGAAAATAAATTGTTTTTCCTAACATTTGCCACTATAACTAGGTAGAGTTTTGATGATACTCAAAAATATATGACTTTGGTTTAAAATGAAAGCTATAATCTTGAATTTCAATGCAACAGTGTTGCAGATCAATGCATTATATATTATGATGTTTACAAAGAAAACAATCTTTCTTCTGTGTGTACAGACTTTAAGATCCGGTCCAAGAGTTGGTGATTTTTATACCCTGAAAATGTTTTGAATTGCAGCTACCATCAGACTCAGCCTACATGGCCAATCATTGGGGATTATGGGAGTTGTAGACTAACATATCTGGAGGGCACTGGGTTGCCTATGTCGGATCTAGTCAGTTACATTGGAATAATAGTTTCATACAGGTTAGTTTCACCCTCCAAACAACAATGTCAGCAGACAACTTGTAATGATTAGTGAACACCAATCTTGGAATGAGAGCTACATTGTGGCAAGCTCTTGGTGATGGGATCCCTCCCTCAAGGGACCCCTTCTTTGCAATCAGTGTACAACTGCTCTGAAGTGACCCTGGGAGACAAGTTCACACATAGATATTAAGAGGCAAGGCTGAGATCCAAAGAATGTGCAGTTAGTTCCATGTACTTACCTGGGCTTTGGGCTTTCGTGCAATCCTGTCATTGCTAAACAAAACAAAAATGCTTCACCCAAAATCTGAAATGTAGGAAAGTTTCAGAAGTGATTTGTGATATGGGGAGCAGTCTGTGCAAGTCCTTGAAATGTGTCAGTATCAATTTGGATCTTGTACCATGTCAATAAAAACTAGAAATGAGTTGTTCATGCATAAGGTCCATTAGGACAGAATTTGACCAGGATTTTGTGCATGCTAATACTGGAATAGCAAGAAAAAATCCATTGGTCTTTGTCCCTGCATCTTCAAATCAAAAGGATCATGTAATTCTGCAATACTGTATGTAGTTTTTTGTTTCTTATTTGCTCAGTTCTGGTTGTACACCTCCCAGCCACACAGTGGAACATCAAGTTGTCCTTTCTTAATGTTTTCTGCATGTACAATATTTTATTTGCAACTCATTCTGTTTCTTTTATATGATTTGTAGCATTTTAATTTGTTTTTCCAGTAACTTCCTCCTTACATTTTTTACATAGCATTTTTGCTGTAGTCATAAAACAATAACTTAGTTTGCATGACACAGTAGGTTATTATGGGTTAAACAACCCACAATGAGCCACAGTGTATGCTGGGTATGTGCAGCTACCAATTGTGAATATGCAACCCCTGTTCCAGGCAAACAGGGATTGTACCATGTTGTCGGGACCCTGCCTCAGCAGGTTATTTGAGGATTAAACCACCCTTGCCATACCTCAAGTAGCAGTAAGGTAATACAGGGGTTGTTTAACTCTCAAATAACTTAAAGCTGCATTCATGCAACACAAAACATGATCAGTTATTGCATGTTCAAAATGGGGGCTGCACATGCCTGGCATATGCTGTGCTCATTGTGGGTTAAATAATCCACAGCGGTTGAGTTGTGCAGTGCAGACTGGCCAGGGACTAGGTCTGGACTGAGATCATCAGAGTTCTGCCCACACTAGAGGAAGTCGGTGGGAGCCATTTTTGCCAATTCTTTCTTCCCCTGAAGATCTATTCTTGGAGGGCTGGGGGACCCTGGAATAGTGTTGGCACTGGAGGAGATCAGGAAAAGTCACCTTCTCACCCCCAGCCCTTCTGGGAAGGGAAGGAATACCCATTCTACAGAGAGACAAGTCTGATAGAATCCAATAGAGTTACTATAATAGATCCTCTTTAAGATTGAAATCCTGTACAGCAGTGGTGGGGAACATAAGGCCATCCAGCTGCTATTGGAATTCAATTGCTGTCAGCCCTAGTCAGAATATCTAATAGTAGGGGATCATGTGAATTGCAGTCCCGCACCTTCTAGCAAGTCATAAATCTCCCACCATTACTAGCCAGATGCACTTACCTCAGAATAAGTCATGTTCAGCTCAGTGGGGCTTACTTCTCGATAGCCAGGCATAAAATTGCACTATAAAGTACCACTACACTAATTTTTGTAAGAGTGCAAAACCAGCATCAGATAATGTCTTTTATACTGATGATATCTTGAGATGCTTGCTGATTAAAGCTATTAGGAGCTACGCTGCCAAGCCAACATTTGATCCATTGTCACAGGGCACTGTGGCTGTGCAGCAAATGGGGTCAAGGCTGAGCTGGAAGAAGCTGCCAGGGCTGGGAACCAGGAGCTGAACCAGGCCCTTGGAGCTGGAGGCCACACAACAGAGCCCAGAAGATCTTTTTGCAAGGTCCTGCCTGTACAGAAAGACTTACAGCCTCTCCTGTCCAAGAGGACCCAATGATCAGCTTGGGCTGGTGGATTCAGTCCAGATCTTGGAAACATTTTGCTGTCAGGAAGGGGCTCCCAGCTGCAGTTCTGTCAGCTCACACATTGCTTAACTACATGTGATACTAACGATGTAACATTAGTGATCAGTGTTGCTTTGTTTTGTTTTTTAAAAAGAAATATCAAGCATGGGAAGGAGCTATGATGATTGACATCACAACACGTGTGTGTGTGGGGGGGGTGAGAACCAAACTTTCACTCCCAGCCACAATCTCAGAAAAAAATTACCCTTCCCATGGAGCATGGGGAAAGGGGGCATCTCCCATTGATACCAGTGGGAGGCTTTTTGTAAGACTCAGTGCCACCAAAGGGATTTTTACTGAGACTGCTGCTGAGCAAGGAAAATGTGCTCTCTGTGCACTGCGATGCTGATGACTCTTCTGTCCCTCACCCCACCCACCTTGCATCTGGCATTTACTTGGGGCGGGGGGGGGGGATGTGATTGCTATGTGCCACATATAACTAGGCCAAGGGACGTAAAGGCACCTGGATTGAACCTGGCAGCTCTTGACAGATTGAAGTCCTAAAACATTAGGTTTGGAAGAGAGCTACATGAGAAAAGGACAGAAAGGTGCAAAAGGATAAGAGGACAATTATAGCAGGCACAAGCTGTTCAGCAGCCATGAGTGACTGGAGCATTGAGCTATACTTTGGAATGGGAGAAAAGCACCGTGGAAGAGAAAATTAGCAAACCTCTAACATAAGCATAGGATTAGCTGAGAGAAAGAGGAGGAATAAGGAAGAGTTTAAGAAGTGTCATAGGAGTAAATACCAGTTTATTCTCTAAGGGGATGTCGAGATGCAACCCACTCCAGGTTTGACTAGCTCTCAGTGCAATGTCCTCTGGTGACTTTGCTCCCTCTTATACCAAAGGGCCTCTTGTGATCAGCACAGGACAGCTATGTCTGAATTACCACTTCAACTCCTTGCAGTACCCAGATGTACCAGTGTTAATGGCTCAGGGCAAGTCTCTGGCACTGCCAGGGGATACTGAGACCCCAGCAGCAGTCTGAGGCTACCATGTGCCAGTGCTGACCCCTCCTTGAGACCTCTAATTTCTTTGGCAGATAGCGATACTGGTAGAAAACAGATAAATGTTTGCAGCAGAAGTATGTCCTAGGGGGAGTAGTTCAGTGACCATATGCAGTGTATTTAGACAGGGTGGCTTCTAGTAAGAGGGTTAGAGTATATTTATGTCTAGCTGACATTTTGTTTGTTCATGTGCTTCTTGCAAAAACTAATCTGCAACAGATTTCGATTTAGAGTTGTTCAAATCTATCTAGGTATTTTTGTCATAACCACACATTTTTTTAAAAAAAAGGCAAGAAGCAACTGGGTAAAAGTGTCTTCTGAAAACTGAATGTCTTCTGCACTAAGCTCAATAATAATGAGCAATTTACTCTGATAACATTAGTGAAGTATTCTTCTTATTATTTCCTCACAGGGGTTAGCATTCTGCATATCATTTTTGGCTTTTCTTATCATACTGCATCACCTCTGGAATCAGATTCAGTACATGATTTATACTTTAAGGGGTAGGAACTGTTTTGTTTTATCCTTAACTAACAGCACAAGTCATTTCTTTGGTAATGCCTGCAGGTAGTTTAGAAACAAATATTGCATTCTTCCCATCTAAAAGGACCATGCTATCATGTAATATATGCTGTCCATAGCTTCTCCCCATTCCTCTTAAATGTAATCCTGGAGTGCAGTCCTGCGTGGTTAAAAACATGACCATGTTTTTAGAAAGAGAGAAAGGTGAAAAAATGCAATCTCATGGACTGGTGTTTTAGATTTTTGGCATTGCTGAAGTTATTCAAAATTGTAGTTCAGTTTTCTATAACCTTCTGTCCTCCAGATGCTTTGAACTATAGCCCATCTTCGCTGACCATTGACCACGCTGACGGGCTGCTGGCAGTTGTAACTGGAGGGCACCAGGCTTGAGGAGAGTGCTCTAGATGCAGCAAGGGGCAGTTCCCTTTGCTGTCCACAAAAATAGCCACAGTAATGGAGAGGCTGATTACCCATCCCAAAGATGCTTCTGACATGTTCAGTAGAGAAGACTAAGGAAGGAAGGAGGGAACTTTACACATTTGTAATAAGCATGTGAACAGGTCCCTGTGATAAGGTACCACCTCACAATGTAAATGGACATCACTTGATTGAATGTCCATCCTGCCAGAAATAATATGTCCATGACTGTTTGGCTAGCCTTCTCCTTGTCATAAACATTTACAGTGTGCAGGGGGTTTATTGTTGGTGTTGTTCTTGTTGATGTTGTTATATCATTGCAATATCAGGGGGAAGTAAGGGTGACATTCAAAGATAAACCCCTTTTTTATTTTACAGCCCTATGTATGTATTGCCTGTTTTTTCCAAATTTATCTGTTTTTGTTATAGTAAGCACGAAACAGATTTTTTTTTTTGCTATTTCCTGCTCATCCATTAAAAACATCAGAAGAAGAAGTGACATGAGATTTCCAGACTGTCTCCCTTCAAATATTAGTTTCCTGCTTAGCTTTATCAATGGACCACACCCCATAAAATGCCATGAATGAGACAGGGCAGTTGCTGAATAGATCAGAAATTACAGCCTTGTTTGGAAGTATCCTGAAAATTAAAGAAACTATTGGAACATTTCAGTTTAGCTAGAACATGCAGCTGAAAAATGTCACTCTTCCTTTGGAAGCTTTACCTTATATGACTGCAGTTTTTTAAAGTTCTTCCTTTACAGCATTGCCAAGCCAGCCTCAGTATGGCAGGTATAGTAAACAAGTTCTCCCTCTCAGAATAGAGAGACTGGGGTAAGCTAGACAGGGCAAGACAGTCTTTCTGATACTTTTGTCCTGAGTTATTTAGGGCCTTGTAAAATCCTTGAATATTACTCAATAGCTGAGTGGCAGCCAGTGCACAGCTGTCAACCTAAAACTCATATGAACATGGTAAAAAGCTCTACTGAGCAATCTAGCTGCTGTATTCTTCCCTATCTGTAGCTTCCAAACCAGTAGCGAGGGCAGACCCACATAGAGTGTATTACAATAGTCCAGTCTTACAGTTACCAGTGCATGGATCACAGTGACAAGGCTATCTATATCCAGGAATGGTTGCTACGGTTGTACCAGTTGAAGCTGAAAATAGGTGCTTTTGCTGTGGGTGTCACCTCAGAGCAGAATGGAAGGATGCTGAAGTGGCTTCAGAACAACTTATGTCCTGGTCACTCAGATCTCCTACCAGTGCCACCCCCCCCATGCCCCAAGGAACCCTTCTCCAAGATCACTTTACAAACCTTAGAGAGCAGTTGATAAGGTTCCTTCCACAAGATTCCCAGCTCCAAGGTTGGCATGCTGTTTCTGATTTCAGAGCTGGAGGTCTGAACTATCCTATGGGGGGCATCAGACAATGTATGGGGGAATAGGATCACTCTTTTAGCAGCTGATATACTGTTTAGACTTCTCAAGCCAAGAAAGCAACCTAGTGGCTCTATTTTTTTCCAGTTGTCTCAGATTCAAATGAGATAGATGACAATGTAGAAAGTGTTGCCATGAGGGGTTTATCAGAGTGTATTCTGAAGCAACAAGGAATGTGTCATGCATCCATTAAGTCACCATCTATATCTGATGGTTCCTTTATTTTGCCAGGTTAAAACTGATAGAAGCACACTGTATATAACTGATTAGTATATGTGAGATAAGAATACCACATGGTTCATTAGGATCTTGCATCCTCAGCACAGTTCAAAAAGACTGGAGGTCTTTGCTGTAGAGAACATTATCTCAGCATGTGAATTCTAATCAGCGCACTAAAACTAACAGGCAGTTTCAATATTTATAAAGGAACAGGTAGTCATGCAGATGTAATGTAACATTAGTAAAATTGCTGTTTCATGTTCATCCCATTTAAAAAAGCTTTGCTAAGTTGTCTTCCTAATAGTTTACCTTCCTGTTCACCTTCCTGTGACAATTAATCATCCAAGAAAAAAAACAACTGAACCACAACTTTCTATTCTGGTTATTCATATGTAAGCTCACATTCCACCACTCCCTAATTAGCCAGCTGTTACTTTATCCCCGTTACAAGATGGACAGGTCATAGCAGAGAGAAAACGTGATCCACTGGAGAAGGAAATGGCACCCACTCCAGTATCTTTGCCAGGAAAACCCCATGGACAGTACCAAAAGGCAAAAAGATATGACGCTGGAAGATGAGCCCCTCAGGTCGGAAGGTGCCCAGTATGCTACTGAGGAAGAGCGGAGGGCTAGTACTAGTAGCGCCAGAAAGAATGAAGCGACTGGGTCAAAGCCGAAACGACACTCAGTTGCAGGTGTATCTGGTGGTGAAAGGAGAGTCCGATGCAGCAAAGATCTATACTCCATAGGAACCTGGAATGTAAGATCCATGAATCAAGGCAAGCTGGATGTGGTCAGACAAGAGGTAACAAGAATGAACATCAACATCTTAGCAATCAGTGAACTAAAATGGACAGGAATGGGGGAATTTAATTCAGATGACCATCAGGTATACTACTGCGAGCAAGAATCCCTCAGAAGAAATGGAGTAGCCTTCATAGTCAATAAAAGAGTAGGAAAAGCAGTACTGGGATACAATCTCCAAAATGACAGAATGATCTCAGTTCGAATCCAAGGAAAACCATTCAACATCACAGTAGTCCAAGTCTATGCCCCAACCACTGGTGCTGAAGAGGTTGAAGTTGACCAGTTCTGTGAAGGCCTACAACACCTTCTAGAATTAACACCCAAAAATGATGTACTTATCACCATGGGGGATTGGAATGCTAAAGTAGGAAGCCAAAAGATAACCGGAATAACAGGCAAGTTTGGCCTTGGAGTACAAAATGAAGCAGGGCACGGGCTGGTAGAATTTTGTCAAGAGAATACGATGGTCATAGCAAACACTCTTTTCTTACAATCCAAGAGATGGCTCTACACATGGACATCACCAGACGGTCAACACAGAAATCAGATTGACTATGTGCTCTTCAGTAAAAACAAGACCAGGAGCTGACTATGGCTCAGATCATGAGCTTCTTGCTGCAAAATTTAGGCTTAAATTGAAGAAAGTAGGGAAGAGCACTAGGCCACTCAGGTATGACCTAAATCATATCCCTGAGGAATATACAATAGAGGTGACAAATAAATTTAAGGAATTAGATCTGATAGACAGAGTGCCTGAAGAACTATGGATGGATGTTTGCAACATTGTACAAGAGGCAGCAACTAAACCCATCCCAAAGAAAAAGAAATGCAAGAAAGCAAAATGGCTGTCTGAGGAAGCTTTACAAATAGCAGAGGAAAGAAGGGAAGCGAAAGGCAAGGGAGAAAGAGAAAGATGCACCCAACTGAATGCAGAATTCCAGAGAACAGCTAGAAGAGATAAGAATGCCTTCTTAAATGAACAGTGCAAAGAAATAGAAGAAAACAATAGAATAGGGAGGACCAGAGATCTCTTCAAGCAAATTGGAGATATGAAGGGAACGTTTCATGCAAAGATGGGCACGATAAAATGGCAGGGACCTAACAGAGGCAGAAGAGATTAAGAAGAGTTGGCAAGATTACACAAAAGAACTATACAAGAAAGAGCTTAACATCCCTGATAACCACGATGGGGTGGTCACTGACCTCGAGCCAGACATCCGGGAATGTGAAGTCAAATGGGCCTTAGGAAGTCTGAGCAACAACAAAGCTAGTGGAGGCAACAGTATTCCAGCTGAGCTATTCAAAATCCTAAAAGACGATGCAGTAAAAGCGCTACACTCAATATGCCAGCAAATTTGGAAAACTCAGCAGTGGCCACAGGATTGGAAAAGGTCAGTTTACATTCCCATCCCTAAGAAGGGCAATGCCAAAGAATGTTCAAACTACCGCACCATTGCACTCATTTCACATGCTAGCAAAGTTATGCTCAAAATCCTACAAGCTAGGCTCCAGCAGTATGTGGACCGAGAACTACCAGAAGTACAGGCAGGATTTTGAAGAGGGAGAGGAACTAGAGATCAAATTGCCAACATACGCTGGATCAGGGAGAAAGCTAGGGAGTTCCAGAAAAACATCTACTTCTGCTTCATTGACTATGCTAAAGCCTTTGATTGTGTGGATCACAACAAATTGTGGCAAGTTATAAAAGAGATGGGAGTACCTGACCATCTTATTTGTCTCTTGAGAAGCCTATATGTGGGTCAAGAAGCAACAGTGAGAACTGGACACAGAACCACTGATTGGTTCAAAATTGAGAAAGGAGTTCGGCAAGGCTGTATACTGTTGCCCTGCCTATTTAACTTACATGCAGAGCACATCATGAGAAAGGCGGGGCTAGCTGAATCACCAGTTGGAATTAAGATTGCTGGGAGAAATATCAACAACCTTAGATATACAGATGATACCACTCTCATGGCAGAAAGTGAAGAGGAACTAAAGAGCCTCTTGATGCAGGTGAAGGAGGAGAGTGCAGAAGTTGGCTTGAAACTCAACATTAAGAAAACTAAGATCATGGCATCCGGTCCTCTCACTTCCTGGCAAACAGATGGGGAAGAAATAGAGGTAGTGACAGATTTTATTTTCCTGGGCTCCAAGATCACTGCGGACAGGGGCTGCAGCCAAGAAATTAAAAGACGCTTGCTCCTGGGGAGGAAAGCTATGGAAAACCTGGACAGCTCAAATACTTTGGCCACCTAACTCAAATACTTTGGCCACCTAATGAGAAGGAAGGACTCCCGGGAGAAGAGCCTAATGCTGGGAACAATAGATGACAAAAGAAGGGGACAGCACAGGATGAGGTGGCTTGATGGAGTCACTGAGGCAGTTGGTGTGAGCTTGGGTGGACTCCAGGGGATGGTGGAGGACAGGAGGGCCTGGAGGAATGTTGTCCATGGGGTCGTGATGGGTCGGACATGACTTCGCGACTAACAACAACTTTATCTCCATTCCTGGAATTTCCAAAAGTTCCCTTCTCCTTTCACTCACATACCATAGCAGTACTTTTCTGCCACAGTTCCCCCCCCCCACACACACAATTAACATAAAAAGGTCTGCCTAAGTAATGCAATGCATCAAAGGTCAAGAAAGACTGCATTATACTAAATCTCAGACGATTTCAAGTTACGGAGATTGCTTTAAGTGCACAGTGGCTAATAAGATCATTAAAAAGATGGGACTTAAAGATCAAACTGTAAATTAATGGCATGCTCCCTTTGAGCTTCAAATAATAAATGCTGATTATAATATTTAAGCTGCTGTTTAAAAATGCAGGATTTTGGTTATAGAATCACCCGCAGCTATTTCAGCACTTGAATTAAGTTTTGAAAAATAGCTTTCCAGGCTTCAACCTGTCTGTACTCAGTCCAACCCCACCCCAAAAAAACAAAAAACCTTAAGCATGTGCTTAATTATTTTACACATGTGTAGTCTAAGTGTGTTAGATGGGATTTATATTTGAAGTTGGAAGTGTTCCGAAGTCAAGGCTAGATTATTGGATCATAGAAATCCTAAAATGAATTATGTTCAAGAGAGGAATAGATTCATGTTCTTTCTCCTTTGCCAGAATTCACACATAAACACACACACATTTCTGTTCTCCTCCATCCAGCACTGATCTTGAAATCTTCAGTATTCATAATTTTGAACTATTTTGTTAACCTACCAGAGGCAGGGACACTGATCTTCAACACATGCAAAAGGAATTTCAAGGTGTTAGACAACGCTCTTTCCTTTCCGGTCGGAAGCGAAAAATATCCCAGGCAGGCAGAGACTTCTTTTTAGAACTTTATTGCAATAAAGGGAACAGAAGGGAATGGCTTGCCTTTCCATTGTTCTGTCCACCTGAGCACATGCTCACACAGGCTTTTTGAACCCCTGCGCCCGGCCGCTTGGTCCCTCCTCCTTTCCCCTAATTGACTGGGTACTGAGAGATTACACTCTTTCCGCCCGCCTACTCCGCGCTGCCCCAACACCAGCCCTTCCCAATCCAGCCCTGTCCCCGGTGGGCTACAGTAGGTCATTTGTCCTGCCAAGCTTGTCAATTAAACAATCAGGAAGTATTTGGCCCTCCTCTGCGTAAGTGCCTGCTTCCCCACACCTTGTGGTATCTGATTTTGGCCCCTCCCCACCTTTGGACTAAATAATTTTCTTTGCTATCCTTTTAAAGCTTTTACTCCCTTGTTTCAAATCATCCTTTCACACCTATCAAAGGTATTTGGACCATGTTCAGCCAATGGATCACAGCAGAGCCCTATTTCTTGTTTGTCATTTACTCTGGTTGTTGGTTTATTCAATATTTGCAAAATGCTGTTCTTGCCCAAAGGTAGGAAAAAAGGTAATAAATGAAACCATTTTCCTGTTCAAATTAGGTCATTTCATTTTTAAACCTCACTCCAGTCTTCCCTAACCTAGTGCTCTCCAGATATTGTGGACTATAACACCGAGTGTTCCAAAATATTGGCCATGCTTTCTGGGGCTAAGCTGAAGTCCAAAGCATCAGCAATAAGGGGCACCAGGTTAGCAAATCTCCCTTACTCTCTTTAAATGTTTAAGCTGTTGGGACTGCTGTGAGAGCTAGTAAATGCAGATAGGAGTAAGGGATCAAAATAAGCAATATTTCCACTTCACATTATTTTCAAACTAAGGTCCACAATGTGGGAGGCCTTGGATATAATAATTTTGTGTCTTCCTAGGGAATACACAGGAATTAGACGGTCATTGTCAAAGAAAAAAAATCACAGGAAGATATTGCTTTTCCAAGATCATCATAGTCCCAGACCTCAAGTGACTGCATGCCTTTAATTGCCTGGAGGTTTCCAGTCCAGTGCACAGTCCTGAGAAAAAGTCCTTCCCTATCTACCCCCAAGCCTCCTGAGATTAACATGTACTTCTTGAGTGTCTTTCAACTGCTGGTGAAGCAGCAGTTTTGTGCATCTCCCATTTAAACAAACGAGCAAGCAACAAACACATTCATTAGGATGGGGTTTGTGCTGGAGAAATTCCTAATGAGTTTTGCATAATCATGAAAGTAGACAGAAGCAGACAGTCACAGAATATCATCCAAGTACATCCCCCCACTCTTCCCCCTTCATCCATCATCCAACTTTGTTTCAAGAAAATGTTCTGGAGAAACATATAACCTACCTTTCACATGGCTTATCCTATACTTGAGTTGCTTATTACAAGAGTCAAGGAACAAATT